GACGATTGCGTCTAGCATGAAACAGCCTGTCGCCTCTGAGTGTTGACTTCTATATTCACTTTTATATCTATATTTATATAGGCTCTATCTCTGATATTGAGCACTTTATCCCATAAATATAGCACACATCAAAACTATATTCCTTCATATATATATATATATATATATATATAAAAGTGAACATAGAAGTCAACACTTAGAGGTGACAGTCTGTTTCATGCCAGATGACAAATCGTCAGAGGCCACCGTCTAAATAAAACAGACTGTCGCCTCTAAGTGTTGACTTCTATGTTCACTTTTATATTTAAACACGCTTTATCTCTGATATTGAGCACGTTATCCCATAAATATAGCACATCTTAAGACTATATTTCTTCATATATATATATATATATATATATATATATATATATATGTGTGTGTGTACATATAAATATAGATAACTAGACTCGTTGCGAAAAACCCTCGAATTTTTGATTTGCCAATCAAATCAATCTCGAGGGTCAAACTTTCCCTGACGATCCGTTTAGGTGAAACCTAGGTAGGTTTTCTGGCTCACTAGGTGTAGCTATATATATATATATATATATATATATATATATATATATATATATATATTGGTTTTTGGTTATTTTCCAGATGAGGAATATTATCGATCAAGACGCACTGAGTGGCCGATTCAAATTATGTGATATTTCACAAAGAGTAAGTAATTACAAGATTTGATTTATTTTAAAATTGCTGTAAAAAATTCAATTTTAGTACATTTGAAAAATACTTGTTCTTAGTTGTTTGATATTTTTGTGTTTTTTTTTTGTTTTTTTTTTTTTTGTTTTTTAGTGCATAACTCTTTTTTTGAAAATTTAGAACCTAACCATTTAAACACTTTAATTAATCAGTCAGCCGTAGAGGAGTCCACGCTTCTGAATCTCCCCTAGTAATATGGCAATGTTAACATTATCCTTTTCCTGATAAGGAAACATTCAGAATTCATTGACCGAGCAGCTAGTGTCACTGCTGGTTAAAATTTATAGCTTTCTCGAATCCAGCAGCTATTACCGCTCTTTCCACTATTAATTGGCGTTTCCTTCCTAATCTTTTGTTTGAAGTGGTGTGTAATGTCAAAATCTTGATTATGTCATTATTTTCTAAGTAACATAAAGAAATCCTTTTTATTTGTTGCCGCTGTTGGTAGTCCTCATGGTGATGTGGTTTCTTTATTTGACACATAGATTGTTTGAATTTTCCTGTAGCTGCCAGTCCATGAAGGATTTTTCCAGGACTTGCATACGGCTATTTGTTTAGATATTATGATCTATTTTGGTTCATTTTCAAGATGACTGATTTAAAAATTTCTTTTTAAATGGTATTGTTAAGGTCAAAAGCATGGATATTTTGTGAGAATCATTATTATTCAATTGTAATTGGTGTAATGGTTTTAATAACAAGAATGTCTCGAATAGATCAATTACGACTGAATACTGTATTCGATCCTCATTAAAGAATATACTTTTTTTAATGTAAGACATTTGGTTAACGCTATATATAATCACTTTAATTTAGTCTTTCTTTTGGCCAGTTCGATGTTGGGTAATGATTAGCAGGCTTGACTCACTAGATCAATTATAACTGAATAGTGAGTTCGATTCTCACTGGATGCCCCATACTTTCGGCCTTGTGCCACATCTAACACATATATTTGATAGCTATATTAAACGGAAACCAAATAATTAATTCTTTTTTGCAGGCGCTTGAGACGTTAGTTAACGGTTAGAAAATTGTCTCGCACGATCAATTAAAATTGAGTTCGATCCTGACTGAATAATCCATATTTTTAGCCTTACACACTTTTTAAATATAATTATTTTGCGATGTCAATGAATACTCGTTGATCACTTTCTTAATGTCAATGATGATTCTTTGTCACTTTGGTAATGCTCGTTGTAGTAGAGACTTTGTAATCGCAGATACAAATATAGTAACGCCGTTGAACAATACTGGTGTCAGACGCCTTCGAATATCACTCACAATTGCTCAATAATACTCGCTCGAATAGTAACCACTGAATTGTGATAAGTATAGAGAATAGTGTAGAGAAGAGAATAGTAATAGAGGATAGGGTAGAAATGGTGATCATATAGACGTCACGCTAATTCTCATATATATATATATTTGTGATCACGTGGTCTACATAATTCAATAATGGGATCGCCTTTGTTTGCTCTCTGGCGATCTATGTTCAAGCTCAAGTGTCGGTAGCGTAACTTTATTCCTATATAACGGCTTCGAAAATCGCCAATTGTTCTTGAATATTATCATTATGACCATATCGAAGTATTTATTTTTCCCTATATACATTTCGAAGAATCCTATGAATGTCTGTTTCCATCTAATGGATAAAGAACGTGACTAGGGTATTTTTCTTCCTTTAATATATTCTTGTAAATGTAATAATATATAAAACTACCCCAGGCGCAGCCTTTTTCTATGCTTCCATCAGGCGGTAATAAAAGAATACTGCTCTATTATTGTATTGATCCCTATATTTAAATTAATGTCATGAACGTTTAAATTTATATTTGATTCGTTTACATTTCATTTATATATCATTATATATATATATATATATATATATATATATATATGTACATATATATATATATGTTGTACATATATATAATATGTACATATATATATAATTTGTATATATATATTGTACATATATATATATATATATATATATATATATATATATATATATATATATATGCACATATATATATATATTTATATATATATATATATATGTAAATATATATATATATATATATATATATATATATATATTTATATATATATATATATATATATATATATATATATATACATATATATGTAATATATATATATTACTAACACACACACACACATATATATATATATATATATATATATAATTATATATATATATATATATATAAAACCGTTTGTGCCTTTGAAATTTTCTCGATTTTAAATTTTTATTGCTTTTGTTCGTTTGTTTAGCGGCATATCAACATCCTTATGGGTCATTTATTGCCGAAATTTAATTTTCTTGGGAGCATTAGTAATTAAACGATACAAATATGTGTTATTTATATTATTATTATTATTATTATTTTGACAAAAATTCATTGGTAAATATTATTTTATGGTAATATTATTTTATAGTAATATGATTTCATGGTAATATGATTTCATGGTAATATGATTTTATGGTAATATTACTTTTTACAAAAATGTATTGATCGTAATTTTTACTATAAAAATGTATTTTTATACTTTTATAATGTTTTAACCTCAGTATTGGGGGTTAACTCTTTGCCCATAGTTGGCACCCTAACTCTGGATTATGGTGGGCCTGGTAACATCAGCATTTCAGAGTTGGTTCCACGCTCCTCAAAAACTCTTGATCAAAGGCCTTGATGCCAGATGTAGTTTACCATCATCCCCAGAACGAGAGTTTATAGCATTACGTTTCGATAAATACAACTTAAACTATTTATTTGTGAATAAATATACCTGTACCATATCGTCTGGGGATAATCCTATCTAAGTAGATATGGTCACAAGTTTATGGGATTTACTCATATTCTTTATTATTAAGCCCAAACCCTAGGTGACCTTTCATTCAGGTATTACCTCTCCCACGGGAGAGGGCTGGCTTTATTGCCGATATTATACATATTCACAAAAATTGAATTTAAATTTGAGTTGTCTTAAAATTGGAAAGATTTAGTGTGGCGTATTAATCGTCTCTTCAAAACGGACTATGTATTTGAGGATGCCCGTTTACTAGGGTGAATAGCCAATCCCTATTGCAGACGCTTGCTCAGGCGCATTTGTGTTTATTATACTTGTTATGGGACCTTACCCATAATAACATAATGGACTATTCCATACGTAATAAATACTGCGCCTCAAGAGGAAGCAGGGAGTTCCGTCCGAAGTCGGGCGACCGGCTGACCAAATCGGTTGAACTCTCTTCCTTCGGGCGGGGAGGAACCCGAACGAGGCTACGTCGAAGGGCGGAGTCTCTTTCAGGGATGTTAAACCGGCCTTGTGCCACATGATGCCCTCGTTTGGGATAACTAAATACTGTTCAGTCTGAAGTCTGAAGTGAAGTCCGTCAGGAGTCTGTCAGTCAGTCAGAGCCAGCGAGTGAGTCAGTCAGTCGAGTCAGAGGCAGTCCGAAACTGAGTCGCGTTCAAACAATTACTACTAAACCTGATTGTTCGAACTAACACTTTGTTCTTCTCTGTATATATTCCTGTTTGTAATATATCTGTGTTATTCCATATCCGTATTCGAGTTCTTCTTTATTGGTTCTACCTTGGACTATCACCGTGGTACAAGTAACCGGACCATAACATTACTGCAACTACGTTGTTATGCAGTAGTTTCTGTAACTAAGAGAGTGTTATCTAGCGCAATCAACAATTTGAACAATGCTAGCACGCTCAAGCCGTCGGCCACGATGACTTGTGACTTCGTGCTAACACAGCTATCGACGGCACACAAGGGTTCCGTCTACCCAATTTCACTCAGAATGTATGGTTTTCAGGCACTTTCCAAATGCGTCACACCTCCATCCCTATAACATCAGGAAGTCTCCTTGACAAATCGACCATGGTAAGATTCGAACCCGGGTCTAATGACCTGAATGCGAATGTTCTAACCACTCGGCCACGTGTCCATTTCTTTTCTCCTGGACTATACTATAACAAGAAAAGGCTGCATACTCTTTTAGCCGTCTAAGAGAACACTTTTTACCTCCAGTAGAGTGACACATTGCGCCTTCTCGGACGAAGGCTTTCGGCTGATGTTGGGATATTCCTTTTGTTAACAAATATTCATTTTTGGCTTCTTTCAATTGACATTTAACAAAAAAGAATGACGTGGAGATAGATGACAGATGATCCTGAAGAGAAATGGCTTTCAAAAGTATTCTTTTCATTTAGAACTAATATATTCTTTTACATTTTTCTTAATTCCCAGCAAGGACACTTCATCCGTGAGGGTCGTCCTCATCTTCAGTGGCACTGAAGACGCTGCAATATTGCCACAAATGGTGGAAGATACCATCAGACAGCACGCTCCCAAGACTAGTGCAACCAAAGGTGACGACCTCAGACAAATCGGAGAGACCATTATTTGGCTCAACAGTTCATTGGTCAGTCTTCATGCAGCCAATGTTTCGGACTGGACAACACCGATGCCGACCACCACAACAGAGCTGACCACGCCCGACTGGTCACTACTCGGAGGTAAGACCCGATATTATAATAATTGCAGTTTTTAAATTCCAATAATATAATATGCTGGTCAGTATTTGTGAAAAGTATAGCGCTTCGTATGAAATCATTAAATATCCTCAGTGATGCGTTTGTTATACTTTATTTCAAAAAATGTCTGGTCATCGGTATCTGGGGATGTCCGTCTACAAGGCGACTAGTCAATCCCTATTGCAGATGCCTGTTCAGGTACATTTGTGTTTATTCATCATTCACAGACCCCCACCTGTGATTTATACTACAACTATACTGAGCTGACCTTTCTGGCGAGTTATCAACACTCTAAATAAAACCAGCACGCTTTTTGCTCGGTCACGATGACTTGTGATTTCCTGCTAGCAGAATTATCGACGGCTTCCAAATAGTTCCGCCTACGCAATTTCACTTACAAGAGTCAATCCCTGATATAGTTTGCAGGCAATTCCCAGAGGTGCGGGACGGAAGAATCATCTTCCTCAAGCCACCAACAAGTCACTTTCCTGCTAACTCGACCATGGTGAGATTTGAACCCGTGTCTGATGGTTAGAAAACGAACGTTCTAACCACTCGGCTACGTGCTTTATTTATGAGAAGCTATATAATCAAACCTTTTTTTTTTATTTTTGCAGACGGCATTGGTGTGAACATGACATTGGGCTTGATAAACTTCACTTGGTCCCAAGAACTAATGACAACAAACAATTCAGAATTCATAAGACACAAAGATCTCTTCTGTACAAGCGTGAGTATTTATAAAACTCGGTTTACCATCTTTTTGATGCCTTAAACAGAGACAGTTTTCAATTTCTATTATAGGTTGCCGGTAGTATAACTGATTGTTATAGTGGGACACACCTATTCTATAGTTAATCGACTCTCCAACCTATAATAAGTAGGAGTAGTAAGAGTAACGTGGGAGTCGGTAAGTCAGTCAATGCTGGACGACAGTTAGTCGAATACGAAAGTAATCAGCGACCACAACAAGATTACTCTGCGTAATACCTATTATATCAAGTTCCTAATGTTTTGTACATCGAACCTGTTTTAGGACCGACTTAGTACAAATACAAGCCTCCACTGTAAAATCACTCCACAACACTGATAATGATTCGGAATTGGAAGTCGGTGAGAGCCGTGTTCCAATTGCTATCAGATTCGTTATAGTCACTTACGCACAAATACCTTTGGAAAAGGTATGAATCAATCTTTTCACCCCGGCTATGGGTTAATTAGTATGACTATAAATCATTATTATCTCTATGTTATGGGATCTTACCAATTATAATAATAATAATAATGGACTATTCCATACTTAGTAAATACTGCGCCTCAGGAGGAGTGAGTCAGTAGTTCAAGTCGAGTCAAGAGTCGAGTCAGAGGCAGTCCGAAACAGAGTCGCGTTCAGACAATTACTACAAGACATTGGAATAGTGATACTGGTCGAGACTACATTGTTCTCTCTACTAAACCTGATTGTTCATACTAACACTTTCTACTTCTCTGTATATATTCCTGTTTGTAATATATCTGTGTTATTCCATATCCGTGTTCGAGTTCTTCTTTATTGGTTCTACCTTGGACTATCACCGTGGTACAAGGAACCGGACCATAACACTCTACAAAAAAAAAAAAGAAATTCTTACAATCTAAAAATGTTTTCTATAAAAGATTTTTTAAAATCTTTTACCGATTCTCAACTCGACAGCAATTGGATATAAGCTACCCCCACCGACTTCTAATTCCATTCGTAATCCAATTGAAGTCGGGTTGATAATCCGGTGGTCAGTGCTCAAAGGATTAACGGTGACAAGGGAGAAATATTCTTTCTATATATTTTTTATTGTTTCGATAATTTCGCATTGTTTTGTGTTTATTTAGGTTGATGATGTCATGAGGAATGACGAACATCTCGGACAGCGGTTGGTTCGATGCGAGATTCTCGAATTCAGGTAAAAATATACGTGGCTTTCTTTTCATTAAGAGATTTTTTCTCTTAGTGTAGATGTAAAGGATAGCGGTTCGGAATAAGAAATAAGATACACGGTTTGAATTCCAGTCGGTAAATTCCCTTGCGCGAAAATAACTTTGGGATATGTATGAATTCATCTATTCGCCCCAGCTATGGGTTAAATATTAAGATCTACTTTTTTTGAAAAAAAAATATATCGTTATTCTAAAAAAAATGTTAATACAGTATTCATTTACAAAGAGAAAATGATTATTCTTACAACACAAAATATGTCCCGGCTTTAAATAAACCATAAAGGGTTGATAAGCCATAAAAAAAATTAACTCCTTAATTATTCTGTTATGTTAGTAACGTCTGAATAAGAGATTAAATTTTCCATACGTAAAATTACTGTTTAGTAAATTCTGAACTTAACAAATTAACATCGGCCGAATCGAGGGCATGTGGTTTCGGGTCCTTCCTTCATACGCTCGATCTTCTTCTTGCGATGGTGTTAGAGATTCTACTGCTCCGTCCGTATTTATATAACTTTCTGTTATCTCGTTGTCTTATGTGTGTATTGCCTAAATTCAACCGGGTTCAATTCCTGTTTATGCTGGCATACTAACATATATACTTCGAGGCCCAACTCAGCACCTGGCGGCTTTGATGTTACCTTCTACGTCGACCTGGGTTTTTTGACATTTGTACGTGACACCGAGAACAAAAATCACTGCCGACATCTTTTAGGAGTAATATTAGGGTCACCACAGATCAATTCTTCTTGGATCAAACGTCCCTGGTAGATTTCTGCCTGAATTACTGGGTTGACGTATTATTTACATTATTCTCATAGGGGCTATTTTGCCTATTTATTTTTTATTTTTTTTTTTTTTTTGTTATCACAACGTTTCGGCATTGTGCCCTCCAGCCTTCTTCAGGTGATTGTTGATCCAGGTAACCTACAGGGTATTTCAAAATGAGTACTTTATTTGGTCTATTGGAGGAGATTCTTCTTCTTCTGCAGTCTATGTCTATGAATAGCTCGTCTACTTTTTATTAGTATTTGTTCGATCCAATCATTTGTGGAATGACTACAAAAATACATGCCCTTCCCCAGTTTAGAGACAGAAGCACACAAATGCATGCTGGGATCTCTTCCTAGCCAATAAAACAGGCAAATTGTCGGTTTCATCTGACTCGGTCCAGAGCTGTCGTTTCAGGCGGTTCGGACTGACTTTTCGAGCTCTCGGCTCCAGACGAGGCTATGCCGAAGTGCAGAGTCGCGTCTGGGAAGCTAGACAAATCCGACCCCGTGTATGTAGGGTCTACGAGGAATTTTTTTTGCCCCCAAAACGTCCTTGTGTCACATCCTGCCTTGTGGGGAGGCTAAGGTAAATAATCTCAGTCCAGATCCACTGATTCAGGCGATTCTTGGCTGGCTTGTCGAACTGTCTTGCGTTCGGGCAGAGAGTAACCCAGACAAGGCTACGCTGAAGGGCGGAGCCACGTCTGTGGGTGTAGACAAGCTCGACCCAGTGTATGAGGAGTCTACAGGGAATTTTTGCCCAAGCCTACAAGCTCGGAATTGACCCACATAAAAAACGGCCTTGTGTCACACCCTGCCTTGTGGGAAGACGCGGTAAATAACCTCAGTTCCACTCTGTTTCGTCTTGAAATCAGAATGATACGTTTACTTGTCCGAACTTGCTTTTGTGTATCAACCCCAATTCTTAGTTTGTGAACTTTTTGCTTCATTACTGTTAATTTGCCTTGCTTTATATTATTTTTTGGCCTGTTCTTTTTCTTGTTATTGCAAATTTTCCCAACGGTCTTGGACAATTCATTCATTTATTTACATTTAACGGTGACCACTCACTCTGCAGTATTTCTTACGCTTGTAATCACAACGTTTCAATCGATCCATTCTCCATCTCATGCCGGATGTCTTCCCTAAGGCGAATAGAGATTTCAACCTAATATGTTTTTTCTGCATGCTTACCAAAGCGGGAATACAGGAAACCTCTGGATTTTCATTTAAAAGCACCCACGTACTTGCTGTATCCCAGAGTTGTTGAAATGAATTGGTGTGGGAGGGTATATTCATTTTTCGGTCTTCTAATTTTTTCAGTCCGTCTCTCAACGCTGTCAAAATCATTCTGGTTTTCAACGGGACAGAAGAAGCGAACTTCTTACAGGGCGCAGTCATTGACGTCATCCGGAAGTTCGGCCCGCGTCCATTGTTCACTTCCGGTCAAGAGATCAGAACTCTGGGAGACCTTAACGTTCTTTTGCAAGACTCCGATGCAAGTTTATCGGCTATCAAAGTGTCAGACTGGACAACCACACCCGTACCCGACACCACGACCATGGAAATTCTCACCACAACTCTTGATTGGTCAGCACTGGGAGGTAAAGAAATGCAGTTTCTATGAATCTAAAGTCTAAATGTAAAATATAAGCGCAAGTGTAATTTCTATAAGTGTAAGTCTATGTGTAATTATAAATTCAGTTTCTGTAAGGATAATGTCGAAGAGTAAATGAATGCAAATACACTTTTTGTGTCTAGTCTAATTGTAAATCTAAATTCAGCTTCTAAGTGTATAAAGTATAAGTGTAGCTTTTATAAGTGGTAAAATCTAGCTGTAAATGGAATCCTAAATGCAAATTTTGTAAATGTAAGTGTAAAAAGCATGTTCTGTAAGTGTAAAATCTAGGTTTATATGTGGAAGCCTAAATACACTTTCTATAGATAAATCTCTATGTATGAGTCTAAATTAAGATTCTGTAAGTGGAACCCAAAGTGCAAGTCTAAATGTACTTATATAATTGTAAAGTGTAGTTATATAAGTGTAAATTTGAAATGCAAATATAAGTTGTAGCCAAAATGTTCTAAAAGGGTAAATCTAAGTGTAAGTATAATTTAATTTCTACAAGTGTAAAATGTAAGTCTAAATAAAATCAAAAAGCATTTTATAAAAAAAAGTGTATTTCTATAAATGTAAAATGTAAGTGAAACATCTGTAAGTGTTTAACTAGAATTAACAATAAGTGTAAATCTAAATGCAGTTTCTATAAGAGTAGAGTCTAAATTTAATCATAAGTGTAAATCTAAATGCAGTTTCTATAAGTGTAGAATCTAAATTTAATCAAAAGTGTAAATCTAAATGCAGTTTCTATAAGTGTAGAGTCTAAATTTAATCATAAGTGTAAATCTAAATACAGTTTCTATAGGTATAGAGTCTAAATTTAATCATAAGTGTAAATCTAAATGTAGTTTCTATAAGTGTAGAGTCTAAATTTAATCATAAATGTAAATCTAAATACAGTTTCTATAAGTGTTGAGTCTAAATTTATTCACAAGTGTCAATCTAAATACAATTTCTATAAATGTAGAGTCTAAATTTAATCATAAGTGTAAATCCTAAATGTTTCTATTAGTGTATCATATGTGGGAACATTATCCAACACTCTCAGCCATATGAAAGGATTAATAACGCATAAAAACCCCAAACCCTTTTCTTTGTTTTTAACGAATATTTTTTTTTAGTTTCTCACCACCTTGCTTAGTTCTTGGCATTCTTCTTTCACAAGTCCAATGTGTACTTCGGATCTCGGTGTCACATTTTTCATCCTCTGTTAAAACGTTTCCTGGATATTTAAACTTCTGCACCTGCTTGATGTTGATATATCCGATTCTTGCATCTTTGGCTTTTTCCCATGCTGATGACCATAATTCCTGCGCCCTTGCAGTTGAATCATTAAAATTTTCTAATGTCCTCCACACATTAAACATGTCCACGAGGAATTATTTTATTTTGATCCTACATTTCTCATCATACCTTCGTCAAATATAATTCATCGAGACAAAGAAAATAATTCTTTTACACTATTTACGTCTAGACTATTATCATCAGGTTTGTTGCTGTTGTCATCACAATGTTTCGGCCGTTGTGTCATCTGGACTTCGTCAGGTGTATATCGATCCGTGTAACTTACAAGAAATAACGAATCGAACCATTTATTTAACCTACGGTATTTACTCGAAGCCTCTCCACAAGACGGGATGTGGCACAAGGCCGGTTTTTAACGTGGGGCATTCCGAGCGCGTACGCTCGGTCTAAAATTTCCCGTATACGGCGTCGGGTGGCTGTCTAGCTCTTCAGACGAGATTAAGCACTTTGGCTTAGCCTCGTTTGGATTCTACACTGTCCGGAAGCAGAGAGGTCGACAAGAAGTTCTATTCAATTTCCTTTTCTAAGCGTAGCTTAGATGCGACACAATGCCGAAAATATGGAACACCCAGTGAGGATCGAACTCACTACTCAGTCATAAATGTTCAAACGAGACAAGCTTGCTAACCATTACCGGTGTCTCGCCATTTATTTAATCTACGAGGGTAGACTGTTCTCATCCCACTACGATGTCATTGTTTGTCATTCTTCTACATAGTGTAAGGGGAATTTTAGCCTCGTTTTGAACTTCACTCTATTCTAGGTTACATTGGCAATCAGTCAACTGTAGTACTTTATACAGCTTTAAGAACAATTCAAAAAGTAATTTGGTTGGTTGATTTTTCGACACATCAACCCTTGCTGGGTTGTACATTTTCTATGTGTTGTCGTGTCCACGAAGAAAAAAAAAGAAATAAAATAATTATAGTATCGAAAATAATTATAATAAAATAATTATAACAATTAAAATTATCATCAGTTCACTTTTTCTAAACCAATGAGTATCAACCCCACTTTTCTCCTCTACCCATACAACACGTGACGTTCTCACTATCGGACAAAAAGTCAAAACGGACAGGTCGTCAACACGTGCGTCAACGAAAATTTTGGCTCCCTTTCTTTTTTCAGACCATAACAGTAACATTTATCGCTTAGCACTCAACAGAAATTCGAGATAAGATAACTCCAGATACTTCTTGTATTTTCCCTCTAAATTATCTGGACACTCATTACACACATCTAAAAAAAAAAACATACGAGAAAGACCGTATACACTTATTTTTTTATTTTAACCTTCTGTCGGATTTTGATCAATATTTGATCTGAATTTGACCCCAAACTCAAAATTTTACTCAGTTTCAATGTCCCTCATTTCTCCAACACTATATAACAATAAATAATAAATAATACTCGTTTCGTTTTTCCTCGTCTTGCTGTTTCTCATTTTTACAAGTATGTTTTGTATAAATAAATGTTAGGGGGGTTTTAATTATTTACTCAGAGTTATAGCAATTAAAATTATCATCAATTTACTTTTTCTAAATCAATGAGAATCAACCCCAGTTTTCTCCTCTTTACACGCAATTACGTTACATTCCTAATATCGGACCAGCAGTCAACACGGACAGGCCGTCAACACGCTCGTCAACGAAAATTTCGTCTCCTTTTTCTTTTTCAGGTCATAATAGTAGTATTTCTTATCACTCACCAAAATTTAGGATTAAAAAAAGCCCAGATACTTCTTGTATTTTCCAATTAAATTAACTGGACACTCATAAGACATCTAAAAAAAAAAATACGAGAAAGACTGTATACACTTTGCATAATTCTTATCTTATCAATCTGTCGGATTCCGATCCATATTTGATCCATATTTGATCCCAAACTCACAATTTTACTCATAATTACTGTCTCTCATTTCTCCAAAATTACACAACGACCAGATTATAAATAAGACTCGTTTTGTTGTTTCCATATCATTCTGTTTCTCATTTTTATGAGTATTTTTTGTATATATAAATGTTAGTGGGGGGTGTGTTATAATTATTTAGCAGAGTTATAATTCCGCTACAGTGTTATATACTGAAGATCGAACATTGGAGCTTTTGTCGCGAATGCCAAGCAGTACGGTATACTTTTGCCAAATTTCTGGCCGAGTGAATTGCGTCATGGTGCTCTTTTTCTCACAGACAGTGACAACTACCCCCGCCTTACTGTACTGTGTAGTCGACAAAAACAAAAACAAACAACGCGCATGCGCAAAATTAAAAAAAAAAAACACCGTTGGACAGATCAAGTTTTCAGATAGAAAACAAAAAATATATTTCAGCCAGTGGTTAGGCAATTTTACCAGCGGTAAAACAAGAGTTTTCATAATAAGTTATTATAGTGATATACAATAATACAACGGGTCGATCCGAAAGTAATGCCTCCTGTTTATTTCTACAGAAACTACTACAGGCGCCGAAGAAACTATTATTTATTACTATTATTTTATTATTATTATTTAAGGAAAGAAAAGTGTGGAGACTAGTGTACGAGTAGCAGACACTTCTTGTATTTTTCAAACTCAATTATACACTATAAAAACATACGAGAAAGTCTGTATACACTTTGCCTATTCTTTATCTTATCAATCTGTCGAATTCCGATCCATTTCAGTTCGAAGGAGGCCGGAGCGTACAACGGCCGAAACGTTGTGATAAATATGGCGACAAAGATAAGGACAATAGTCCGAATAATGTAAATAATGTACATAATACCTCATCTCAGAAATATAGTCAAATGTTAGGGAGTTTATAATTATTTATTCAGAGTTATAATTCCCCTACAGTGTTAACTACTGGAGATCGAACATAATGATGTTCAACCAGAACAGCTCGTTAAACATTACCCTCACGCTGAGGAAACTATTTTTTTAAGAAAAGAAAAAGAATGTGGATACTGGAGTGTACAAATAACAGCGGGGATGAAAGTGATATTAAAATTGCCGCTTAATGTTATTATTTAAGGATAAGCTAACTTGGCTGATTTTACGATATGTCAAGCCTCATTTACGCTATAGGCGCACGGATTATTTTCCTTATCTTTGTTGTTGTTATCGCAACGTTTCATCCATTAACCTACAGGGATTCTCAAACTGAACGCTTTAATCTGCGTGGGTAGACTATTCTCGTTCCACTGCCCATGTCTCGGGATATCTCGTTTACTTATTTTTAGTGCTGCTCAGTTATAGCACGCCCTGTTTCCACTTAGTCCGTGTACGCATTGGCCGGCCTAGGGATTGAACTCACACTTATTATGTCACCAAATAATGAAGGCTTTAATCCATTTGAAATTAACGAAGAGACCACTCGTATTATAATAATCTCACCAATTCTCCCGACTGTTTCCCGATTTACGAAGCGTAGCTTGGGTGTGGCACAAAGGCCGGAAGTAAGGATCGACTCAGTCGCAGTTGAGCTAGAAAGATAAACTCGTTAACCATTACACAACGTTGAGGTACCCATTCTCCTTACTGTATAATTATTATTTTACTAACTTTATCCCGTCTCGGCTTCCGTATACTTCTTTTTGTTTTCGCTTCATAGTGTCTGATTTTATTATGCAAATTAATTTCTTGACAAAGAAATTGGTATAAAGCTGCCAATATTGGTAACATTTTCAGACAATAATTATATTTATGTTAATGGTAGTATGAGCCGTTTCCTTATA